TGCCAAGGTGCGAATCAAGAAGGCGGCCTGGCACCTGCCGCGGCCCCCCCAACCCCCGCTTCTGGGAATGCACAAAGGTGCGATCCTGGCCGTGGATGATAGGACTTCCCCGATGCGCCACTTGGAGTGTCCCTGTAAAACTGCTCTGCCTGGATTAAGTTTGTGGTTGTGGTGGTGTCTCAAAAGGGTCGCTCTTGGGCCAGATCGTGCCCACCTTGGCTTGCCAGTGAGTCCTGCCGATTCCTGTCGTCGTCGTCGAGGAACTGCGCCCGATCCTAATGCGCCCCGAGGGCGTTGAGGACCTTGGAGAGCGGCTCGCGTGAACTGGCTGCGCTTTGACGCCCCGCGGGGAAATAGGCCGAGTCCTCCGAGTGCGCCGCTCGCGCTCCGGTTTCGTAACCTCGTGGGCGGCTATTACTCGCTCAGTGACCGTGGATCGGGCGTGAACGAGGTGTGTGGGTGTGTGCGTGCGTGCGGAGGGGGGCTCGGGTGTGCACAGCGTGGCACGGGGGCTTGTGCCCAAGTCACGCTTCGCCAAACGCACCGGCGTATAACTCGGGCTAGCGGACCGCTCTCCGCGCCGCGCTTGGGCCGGCAGGGAGTCGCGATCCCGGCGCCCTCCCACGCCGGCCCCCGCGTAGCTTATCCCCTCCGTGCCCACGCATCGGGGCGCGCCCCTGGAGCTCGAGGGGACGCGGAGGGGGCGCCGGCTCGTGCGCGCCGCTGGCCGGCCTCGCCTGGGCCGCCTCGGAGGCGTCGGGGGACGTGCCCGGGAGCGCGCAAGGTGAACTGGGGCGCCGCCTGCGTCTCCGCGGCGTGGGATCCGGCCAGGCCGATGAACCTCTTCTCGAGGTTGCGCCCCAGAGCGAGCGAGGCGTTTCTCCGGAGGCGTAAGACCTGGACCGGGCGGTGGGTCTCGCCCTCAGCCCGGGCAGGCGGGCAGTTCTCTCGGCGCCAGTCGGCGATAAACCTCCTTTGGGCTCACCTGCGAGTCAACCTGCATAAATTCGGACTGAGAGGCGCCATCGGGACAGTTTAAAGGAGCACGGCCCGAATTTGCTTGGCGGATCTTGGCCTTTCCCAGTTAGGGCTGCCGGTTTGCGGGCGGAAAAGGCGTCTGAGGCCTCGATCCGAACCACGTGGCCTCGACCTGGTTCCTTCTCCCCCTGCCCGACGAATTGAAGGCGCGATGTGTCAAATCGCTCCATGTTGGCAAGGGCTGGATTGGATCGGTGCCCCTCCTGGACTTGCCCGACCCCCCCCCAAACGCCGGTTTCGTAATGGGGGGGGGAACCTTGCGCGATTTTAGGCGGGTGACTGCAGCCAGTGGGGCGCCTTAGCGCAGCTTCCATTTCGAGCTTCGTGCGTCCATCCCGGGCGGCGGGCCTGTCTTGGGGACGGAGTCCAGCGCCGCGGAGAATCCCTGGGCAGCGCCCAAGCAACGCTGCCCTGCCGGAGCGGCGGCCCCGGCTCGGCCCGCCTTTACTCGCGGGAAGAGGGCGCCTCGGCCCGCAGCGCCGGCGGCCACCCAGCCTTCCCAAGCGGCGCGCCCGGAGCCCGTTCCGGCCGCTGCGAGGCGAGGGCGCAGCGGGCCAAGGACGAGGCTCGGAGGGGCCCAGGCGCGCCCTCCGCCTGCGCCTCCGCCTGGGGTCCCGGGGCGCCCTCGCCGGGGCGCGCTGCCTTGCGGGAGAGAGGCCGCCCTGCCCCCCCCCGGCGCCCCCGGAGGGGAGAGGGCGATCGCGGGGAAGGGTGGCCGCGGCGCCTCCCCGCCGAGGAACCGTCCGCGCGTCAAAGGGCGGCGCGGCCGGCGACGCGCGGCCCGGCTGATTGCGGGGGGTGGCGCGCGGGGGGGGGGCTGGGGTCCCCCTGAGCTCAATCGGAGTCGGCGGGACGTGGCTCCCGCCGGAGAGTTCTGCTTTTATCGCCCCAGCCCCGCCGGGACCCCTCCCTCCCTCCCTCTGTACACAGGCACGGAAGTTGAGCGCGCCGTGTTTCGTAAGCCACGCTGGGGTGACACGCACGCACACACGCACCCTCCTCGCTATTAAAAGCAGGCATTCACACGTGCGCGTTCTACGTACGTACACGTGTGTGTGGGGGGGGAGACGAGACTGAGCGCGGCTTCTCGGCAACGCAGAGCGACGCGAGCCGAAGGGAGGCGATCCGCCGCCGGCCTAGTCGCTTAGCGGCGCTTCAGCCGCGCCTCGCTTCGCCCGCCGGCGTGCGCGCAGGCCTCCTCGGGAGCAAGGGCCGCGTCTCTGCTCCGCTGGCCTTCCCATCCCTCGGAAGCACCCCCCCCCCAGCTCCACGGGGCCGGTTCCCGGGCAAGGGGGCGGTGGGGCCGGTCGAAGGGGTGTCCCCGTCCTGCCCCTCGAAAGTGAGCTCTGCGCCGCGAACTGGCGCGGCTTCTCTGAGCAAATATAATTTGGAAGCGGGCGCCGGTGTGGTTAGGATCGGGCTAAGAGCGGCGAGCCTCGGAGACGCGCTTCAAACAGGACGGGCAAGATCCGGCTCCCTGTGGGATGCGAAGTTTGCCCCGTGCCCTGCCGGTCCTTCGTTCCGAGCAGACCCGGCGAGGGATTGCGCCGCCGTGGCCGGTTCCCTTTTCGAAATGAGGGAGTTGCATCCACCGCTCGTTTATCTGGAGGCCCGGTCACTTCCGTGGGTCTGCTCTCAGTAGGCCTGCTGGCCACGACCCCAGAGGGCCTCGCTTCAGGCTGCGCTCCGCCTTGCGCCTGCCTGGGGCAGACTCGCGAGGGGGGCAGAGGCGCACGTCTGATCGGTTCGGGGGCACCGCCGTCTGGACACGGGATGGTGGTTGGTGTGAGAGAGAGATCTGATCTGAGCAGGAAAGCCATTCCTACATGGACCCGTGGAAAGAGGGAGACCCCTGGTGTCCTCCGGACGGTTTGGACTACAGCTCCCATGAGCCCCAGCCACTGTGGCCAAGGGCTTTGAGGCATGGCTGTTAATTTAATATTCTAGCCCTTCTTTCTTCCTCTTGAAATGAATACAAGGCAGCTTGTATGACCTGCGCCTTTCTCTCACAACAAGCCTGAAGGGTAGGCCACTGCCGAAAAGTCACCCCATGGCTGAGTGGGGACCAGAGCCTGGGTCTCCAAGTCAGAGCCCGGTGCACTAACCACTAGACTCATGGGCACTCCTGGATCACCATAACATCCTGGGGTTCAGGCTTGCCATGACTAACCAGGGCAAACTGTGATTTTACTCATCGGCAATGGAAAAGCACTCTGTGTATGGTCCCCGCAGCTCTGCTACTCAAGAGTGGGCAGATGGGGGCCAGAATGTGTACCTGTCCAGTGCAATGGGATTGTGTGTGCGCGCGCACACACACAGGTGGGGAGACTATAAGACTGGGGAAGTCTGGCCCTGGATTCTATCGTGTCTTATTTATTTAGTTAATTCCATTTCTATGCTTGTCCCATAACCTGAAGGTTCTCTGGGTGGCTTACAAAACTAGAACATAAAAACACACATAAATTACAATAAAACAAGTATTAATCAAAGATAAAACAATAAAGTAATGGAGCACCTCAAATAAAATAGACTCACACACGAAAAACACAACCAACAAATTAACCAAAATTAATCTAAGTTAAAAATCCATAACAAAATATGGAAGTATTACAGACATTTAAATTAAATCAACCAAAAAAATTATTGTTGAACTAAAAAACCTGGTGTCTTCCAGACATGCTAGACAACCAATCCCAAGTGACTGAGGCATGATGGGTGTCGTAGTGTGACACATCTGGAGATCATCAAGTTGGGGAAGGCTGAGCTATGGAACACTGAGGGGTTTGTAAGGAGAGACTCTGTGCACCCTTTAAGTCTTTCGGGTACACTGAGGGGCAATGCAGCGCAGTGGTTACAGTGGCAGGCCAGGCTCAGACCTTTCTAGGCCAGGCTCATCTGGACAGTTCACTGAATGACCTGGGGCCAATCAAGAAATATAGCATGGTTGGAGTACTGGATCAAGTCTTAGCAGGTTCTAGTTGCCAAGAAGCTCAACTGGATGTCTTTTGGCCAGTCACCGACTCTGGACCGCACCTACCTTGCAGGGCTGTGGTGAAGATCAAACAGAGAGGAGGAGGAGGGTCATGTAAGCAGGAAAAGAAAGGGTAGAAATCCAACAACAACAACAACAACAAACTGTTTCAGGGCACAATCCCAGATTTGATTGGGCACATCCTGGGAGAAACAGGCCCCTTTGCTGTCTAATTTTGCACAGGATTGTGTCTTTTAAGTTTTGTATATTGAAATTGCAAACTGTATTTTTAATTATCCTTTAGTTTGTGATTCTGTGCATCTTTGTGAACAAGCTTTGGCTGTTGGGCATTACAGCAATTAGTTGAATTATAATTCTAATAATAATTGCAATGTAAAATAGCCCTTTGTGGCCCTCGCCATGCTTTGGCCTCCAGCTCTTTTCTGCTGTGCTGCTCGTTGCTGGTGGTGGGAGTGGAGAGGAGCTGCGGGCAAAGGGTCTGGTGGGCCAAAGCAGCCCCCGCCCCCGCTTGCCCAGCGGGTGTGCATGAGTTTTGGGTGTCTGGTTTCTGTTGCATGGAGAGCAAACCTTCCTGGTCGGAAAATGAGCCTTGCATGAGCCACGGGGCTGACCAGTGCTCCTGACCTGTGTGCAGAACAGGAGACACACACCTGTGTATATGCCGTGATGGGGGGAGGAGAGGGGGAGAAGGGGATGCTGCGGAGGCGGGATGCAGGATGACAGCAATGAGTCTGACGAAGGGAATCGAATCGCTCCAGCAGCTCTGCCCGGGCGGCCTTGGCGGCATCCCAGCCCTGCCTGCCCGCCCAGGCATGAAGGCTTGGAAGCCACGCACCGTGCCTCTGGGGGGCCCTGCCGGCTCGGAGAAGGCCACCCCACCGCGGTGGGCTCTGACTTCCAGGCCCCGAGCCCTGGCCCTCCCCGGCAGGCTGAGTTCTGACCTCTGGCTCTCTCTCTCTCCCCGCGGCAGGTGTGGTTCCAGAACCGGCGCTCCAAGGAACGGCGCATGAAGCAGCTGAGTGCGCTGGGGGCCCGCCGGCACGCCTTCTTCCGTAGCCCCCGCCGCATGAGGCCGCTGGTGGACCGCTTGGAGCCGGGCGAGCTCATCCCCAACGGGCCCTTCTCCTTCTATGGAGGTGAGTAAGCGCACGGAGCCTTCCTTGGGGGCAGTGGAGGTGCCCGCGCAGCCTCCGCCGCCCAGAAAGGACGAGCGTAAGCCTGCAGTGGGTTGGATCACCCCTGTGGGCCAGTGGCCAGGAATCCCGTGGCTGGGAGGGCGCCCGTTTCACTGCAGAGCAGCCAGAAAGTAAACCAAGTCCTCCTAATGCTGGTCCAGAGGTGCAGGTGTAGCCCCTTCCCGAAACATCGAAGCAGATGGTGAAAGGGGCGGAGGGCCTGCAGCCAGACCTTTGTGCTCAGGGGGCAGAACCTTGTAAGAGAGCGAACACCTTGTGTGTCCGGCGTGTGTCTACTCAGAAGCAAGGCCTGTTGCCTGCTCTGCAGCCAGGCGCCAGCGCGGCTCCTGGAACACTGCCCGTCAGCAAGCAGTTGGGTATAATTCTGCCCCCACTGTTTTCTTGTTATCTCTGCAACACGTAACAGGAATAGTGTCTGTCATTCACTTACCCACTCATTCATTCATTATATTCTTTTCAGCTTCAAGCCAATTTCTTTTTATTTTCCCATTTTTTTTAATGTTTAATTGATTTTAACTGAGTTTTTAGTATATCAATTGCCAGGTGCTATGGTATTTGTTTTATTATACTCCTTTTTTGTAAGCTGTCCCGAGATGTTTGTCCAGGGTTAGAAAAGCTTTGAATAATTAAATAAATATTGCTGAGGTCACAGGGGGAATCTTGATTCCATGCACCAGGCTCTAACCCCTACACCACACTGTCTCTTCCATTTCATTATTATTTATAGTGAAAATTGAAGGAGGAGCCTAGGATTTACCACAAAGTGCTGAGGTGGGGGTCCAGGGGTGTTACGAGCTCTCCCTGCCTTCCCCTAACCTCAATTAAATGGCACTCAGGATCAGTATACATTGACCCTGGGTTTCATAGGACTTACTGCCAAGTAAAAATATTTTGGGGACAGAAGAGCGATTGATTAAAGCTGCAGCCCTAACTATACATTTCCTTGTGGGTAAGACACATTTAACTCCACTGGGCTCTCTCTTGGATAGGAGTGCATAGAATTGTACTAAAGGAAGTTGTTGTTGTTGTTGTTGTTGTTATTATTAGAACATTTCTATGCCGCCCCTTGCTGAAGCCTTGGGGCGGCTTACAAACACAATAAAATACAATAAAATACAAAAATAACAATATAAAATTAAAATTAACAATATAAAATATAAAAGAAGTCGCCCTGGCCAGATAAGTTGCCATTGCATTGAGAACACTGAGAGCACGGGGGAGAGAGTGGGTTTGGGGCTGAGACAGAAACAGCTTAGAACGCCTGACACCCTTACATAAGCAAGCCCCCCCCCCCCAACGTGAATATGCCTGGGCTACAGTTGCCTTCCTCTGAAGAAGTCCCATGGACTTGAAGGTGATTGTTTAAATGTTAGAATGCAGAATAACTAGGGATATAAGGGAAATTTATTTTGCGTCAGAATTTACCTGGTTCATGCCTCCTGGGACGAAACACAGACCCAAATGCATCCTGTGGCCACAGAACGTGTCTCCAAACTTGTCCGACTGTAACCTGGAGGGCAACCCCAGTGCCATAGTTTGGCAAAATGCAAGCCAGCGCATTCTAATCCGTTGGAGAGAAATCTAAACACACGCACAATTGGTGGATACATTTGGGAAAACGTGCATGCGTTCACCTGGATTTTCATGTGAAAAGGAGCACCCCCCCATCCAAACAATCTGATATTGTAGAATACCCAATAGCCAACTCTTGCTGGGAAGTTCACAAAAATTAAAAACACTCAGCAGCAAAATGTCAGGCTTGATTAAATGACTAGTTTAAATGTTTAACAGCCCCAACATATGTTGCCAAATGGCTGTAGACAGCGGAAATTCTGGCCTGCTGCTCAGAACGGCTTGGGACCTGGATACCTGAAGGAACGCCTTCTTCCATATTTCCCTCCCACCCCCTGAGATCGGCAGCAGAGGCCCTTCTCCGGGAACCCTCCGTGAAAGATATTAGGAGGGCGAGTACCCGGAGGAGGGCCTTCTCTGCAGTGGCACCCCGACTATGGAATGCGCTCCCCAGAGAGGTCTGCCTGGCGCCGTCGTTATTTGTTTTTCGGCGCCAGGCTAAGACCTTTTTATTCAAACAATATTTTAATAAGTTTTAATATTGTCTTTTCTATGTTTTTAACTGCAGCCAGTGTGGGTCGGGAATTTATTTATGTTATATTTTATGTTGTAAGCTGTCCTGCGGCTTTTTGCGACAGGACGGCATATAAATATTTTAAATAAATAAACAAACATTACAATGCTGGCGGATGAATTCCTATTGGGAGTTGGGTTGCATCAGAATTTCAGTTCCAAACCAGGTAGATGGAATTTAGAAGGAGGGCCTTCTCGGTGGCTGCCCCACCCTTGGATTGGGCTTCCCAAAGAGGTCCGCCTGGCACCGTCTCCACTTCCGTTTTGCCAGGCAAAGGCCATCCCCTTCCACAGATTTTACGAAACCTGAATTTAAAAGCTTCCTTACTCCACTCCAACAGATTTCCTCCCCTTTTCCCCCTGTACTTGTATGTTTAATGTAAATTGTTAGATGCTTAGAGTCCTGTCGGGCTATTGAGCATCATATAAATTTGAAAATAAATAAATCATGAATCTGGTGAAGCATCAAACTGAAATTTGCGCTTATCAAGAACACCCAGTTGTTGCTTGGCTTGAAAAAAAAGCTTTCCGGAGACTGTCCTGCATCCCCACTGAGGGCCAGGACAGGAATACAAGAAAACTGTCCAAGGTGATGCCGGGGATGGAGGCAGCTCTGCACACACCTGACCACTCACCTTGAGTCTCTCCCTGGAGCACCTGCCCCAGAACCAGCTTGATGACGTTTCTCTGCTGCTCCGCTGGGGAGCAAACACTGCGCTGAAGGATCTCTTGACTTTAGATTTTGGGCAAGGCTCATTCACTTTCAAAGCAGAAAAATTCAAACATGGAGGACTTCTTTCAGCCAGACCCTTTGTGTGTTCGGCTCAAGGAACTTGTGTCGATCTCACTCGGCTGGAAAGCCTGCACAGCTTCTTCTGCTTCAGTTAAAACACCAAGGAAGATTGGGTGTTTACAACGCATTTACCATGTTTCTGTACCTTGCCATATTCCCAGAAAAGATAATATGCGAAAAGCAGGTATCAGTAAAAGCCATTGCTGCTCAGGGAAGGAAGGCCTCTTGGAATAGAGATGGTTTCAGGAGGCACCAAAGCCAAAAGAGTCTTCGTACCTGCCTGATCTCCAGAGGAAAGGAGTTCAGAGATGGCACCCACCACACTGGAAGCCCCAGGTGGACTCTGGCCGGGCCACGTGGAACCTCCAGAAGAATCGCGGCCAACGAGTCCCGTGACTGGGCAAGCCGGGAAGGGAGAAGGGGCCTTTCCGGTATCCTGTCCTCAAGCTGTTTGGGGATTCATATGCGAGTGACAAACCCTAACTGAGCCTGAGAGTTAATGGGCAGCCAGTGCTCTGCCTTCAGCAAAGAGGCAGTTCCCGAAAACAGCTGAGCCGCCCCCGTGGGCACTCGCTCTGGCACCTGGACCCGACTCCGAGGCACCTGGTTCTGCAGGGCTTTCTCCCCCCTGCAGGTCTGCAGCGGTGTGGAGAGGTGCATCACAGAAGGGAAACATGCACACGTGCAGTACTGCGGGGCACCTCCCTGTGATCAGATGTGCCCAACATTCAGACCAAAGTATACAACGCTTTGAGAATGAGGAAGAAAGGCTTCCGGAAGTTGGAGGGCAGTGCGTTGCGCCCCGCCTCTTCCCTGCAGCGGGACACCACATGGCCCATCAGGCCTGCGTCGTGGAGGATGCAAAATGACCAGTTCTGTGCACCTGCACAGGTGCGCTCCTAAAGTCCAGGAATATTTCCCTGAGTCCGGTACCTGGCTCTCGCCTTTCACAGAAGCGATAAAGCTCTCCACAACCCGCTTGTGAGAAAGTCCCGAGCAGAGCAGAGTCCTGGGTTTCAGGAGCAGAGGGCAAACCCTGAAGGCACCAGGAAGTCCCACAGAGCTCTGAGTTCCAAACGCAGCAGAAGGTTTTCCAGGATGCTGGTGCGTTAGCTCCTGCAGGTGCGACTGGAAGTCAGCAGAGGTATGAACACGGGTGGCTGCTGAGGATCTGCTTTGGAAGCCTGTTCTTCAGGGCAGCTGCACGAGTCCCTTCTGCTGATGACAGACCAAACGAGGCAGCCCTGAAGTATATCCTTCATCAGAGATCCTCTGGGAGGGCATCCCAGTGGCAGGCGAGCAGCCCCCCCCGCCCCCCAGGCTCACACATACAGCACAACCCCCACCCCCAAACCTTTAGGAAGAGAAAGCCTCAATGCAACGGCCCCAAGAGAGGGTGAGCCCTACCCCTGAGAAACTGCTGGGGACTGTCAGCTCCCCTTGGAAAAAACGAAGTGAAATTGTCCTTCCAGACCTCCCATTTCTTTTGCCGCAATGGGGATTGAGAATGTTGAGGTGCTGTTTAGGCCCAGGCCTAACTGACAGAGCTGGATGAAGAACGGAATGGATCTCCAAAGGTCGTGAGGCCCTGGGTAGGACCGCCAGTGGCATCCGTCGGCGCTTCCTGTCGCAGTTCGGGGTGTTTGTAGGGCAAGGATACTGCAATCCATAGTTGGTGGCATTAGGAAAAATTTGACTTCATGCGCCGTGGCCTACAATGCCACGTGAAGAGACGCCCTCTCTGGGCCCAGATAACAGCCCGAAGTCAAAGGTTGCGTGTGAGTTGTCATTGAACTGTGGGCTGCTGCTGAAAAATGCGTTCTTGCATGGTCTGAACTCAGCCATGCCAACAAGCCACGGGTTGTTAAGAACAAACTCTTGTGCACTGGAGTTCCTCCTTCGTCTATTCAAAAGCCACAGACATTTTTTTCCCTTGCAAAACATTAAAAAAAACACACCACACCCAGAATGAATCTCTGAGCATCCACAGCGTGGTTTGCCGAACCCAATCTAATAATCACTTCCAGGAACTCTCCTCATGAGCATGCCTGGGCCCGATTCCTTTGGAAGGGGCCTCCTGCAAATGGGCATGCCTGGACTGAGGGGCAGATCTTTCCAGCCTAGTCAGCTGATATACTTTGGTGTGCCATCTTTTTAAACATTTTTTTCATGTTAAGAAAAAAAAAAACCCTGGATGTAGAAAACTGGTGCATCATAGAATGATTATGCCAAATCTCTCTCCCTGCTAGCTTATGCATTTGCTATTTTGGTATTTCAACGGAGGACCATTCCAAAATACTAGCTCCCCACCGGCCACGAAGGGCACTCCCATTGGGAATTCTGCTGCTGCTTTAGTGGAATCTAAAGGGCGGCTCTTTGACAGTGTGGTGAAAGAAATCTTGAGAGATTTCATGCATGCAACAGAGAAAGGAAAAGCAACACTGCAGCTCTCTGCTCTGAGAAGCTTAGCGTCGAGATTGCAGTCATGAGCAACACGGTGAAAAGAAAGATGCGGCGACAAGGGAGGAACATTAAACATGCTATTAAAGGCTGCAGCCCTGGTCTCTCTCTCTCTCTCTCTTTCGCCTGGGAGTAAGTCCCATTGGGGCTTACTTCTGAGTGGGGATGCCCAGCCTTGCTTTCGAGAGGGGGAAGAGGGTGCTAAAGCACATGTCCTCACACAGGTCACAGGGCCCAGTTGGAGCTGCTGAGAGGGTCACAAGGCCCCAGCTGGGAATGCCTGATAGTTAAGTCCGCTCTGTACACGTTCAGGCTTCTCTTGGGTTTCGAGACTCCGGTTCTGGGGCCATTCTAATTCTCAGGACAGTCAGCTAGTCTCAGATTATTACCTTGGTGTGCTGGGTTAAGGGTGAGCAGCTTTGGAAGGTTCGGGGGTCTGCAGTGCTCCCCGCAAGAGCCCGCTGGGGGCCACTCCCTTCCCCATCACTGCCGGATGCAAGTTGGGATCCACGGTGCTGGATTCCCAGGGGGAGCAAAGGCAAAATACATGGTGGGGGGGAAGCACATTCAGACACTCGTTGGCTTCTTTTTGCACGGTTGATTCGAGTAGCCAGGTCTGGTTTTCCCCACTGCACGCTTCTGATTTTCTTTGTTCTATTACAGAATATTCGTGGTATGGCTTGAGAGAAGTTCTTGCATTTTATGGTTAGTGTTAATCATCTCGGACTGTTCAGAAAGGCAGGAAACAGCGTGGTTGTTGCTGCTCTTTGCCAAGGAGGGTTCCTTGCAGGAGGGGCAGAATAGGGTGGAGGCGCAAGGGGTCCCCCCGTGCCGGTGAGGGCCACGGTCGGCCTGTTGTCTTGAAGAAAAGGGGTGCCCCTCATCGGACAGTCAGTCCCATCTTCCCCTGGGTGCCTTCGAACATTTCCCGTGCCTCCTGGGAGAGAAGATGAAGCCAACCTATTCCACTTGGCCCTGTCATGCACTCTCTTCCTCTTCGGCAAGATAACAGCAGTGTTGGATTTAATGGCACGTGAGCAGGATCCGGGTGGCGGACCAGCCAACGGACTTGCAGCTGGCATTCCCAAGCCAAGCATACGCTTGCAAGTTATTTCCGCAACAAAGGGCCTGGGAAAAGGATCTGCTTAATTGCACGACTGCATTTGCATATTGCTGGTGGTAATAGCTGCATTATTAAGTAGCAGCTGCAACAGCCCCTACTCTGGTTTAGAGGGAGAGAAAGTTCAGTGTTTCTCCCTGTATTGCTATCCTGCTGAAAAACTGCCTGCCTTTACAGAGCTCCTGTTGACTCTCCAAGCTAAGCTGCTCTAGGCAGCTGCTTGTCCCCATGGTGGCCAGAGGACCTTGGTCCCAATCCGATTTCCTGCATCCCCAGACTAGTTCACAGAGACCTGAGTAGCCAGGCTAAAATAGCTAGTTTCCTTAGCTATTTTTTGCCAATCGGGGCAATTTTCAAGCTGGACTGTGCTTGGGAAGGGTTAATTTTCCCTTTGCCTGCATGGCAACTAAGGTTCGAAAAACCATGTTTTCGTTGGTTGGGAATTCCCAGGTAAGGATGTGGATTAACTGAAGAGTTGGTTTTGCTTGGGATGATTTGGTCAAGAAATAAATTGGCCACTTTTGCCTCCTGGGAAATTTAAATAAACCCTACTTGTCATTTCTACAGTTGGACCTGTATAGATACACATTTTCTACAGATTTGTATATGGACCAGTCCTTAGGACGCACATCTCTGAGGTTCTGGCTGGAGGGCAGAATATTCAGTGGGGGAATGACTCGTGGGGGGAGCAAGCCCTCTCCCCGTGAGAGCCCCTGTGATCCCAATCCAGGCTGGGAACCTACTTGGCTAATCTTGGAAAATATTACCGCTGCCGGGATTGAATGCGTTGTCCCGTTTGGCTCTGAAATTGGGATAACTGAAGCCATGGTATGTGGAGGCCTTTGGGGACTGAGGCAGAGTGAGTGGAACAGCAAAAGGCTGCGTGGGTCAAGGTGTCACGGGTAATTGGCAAGCGAGCACGGTGCCGTGTCTCGCGTCTGGGCCTGGGACTCGGGAGAGCCTGGTTCTAATCCCCACTCAGGCCATGAAGCTCACTGGGTGACTTTGGGCCAGCCACTAACTCTCTGCCTGGCCTACCTCACAGGGTTATTGTGATGATAAAGTAGAAAGAAGGATTGCGTGAGCTGCCTTGGGCTATTTGCACGAGGCAAACAGGCAAGATAGGAATATGAGAAGAAGAAGAGGAAGGAAAGAGTCCTGGATCTCAGTGGAATGCGTCTGATCTCGCTCTGACACTTTTGTACACTGTCCGTTTGGAGTGACAGTGTCCTGATTCACACATAGTGCCAAGCCCTGGTTTATTTGGATCATGGTTTGTTGCTTTAGCCATGAACCATCTTGCAGACAAGCAGGCCCACCCAAGCTTCTTTTCCAGGTTTCTGGTTTGTTTTTCTCCTGTCTGCTTTGGTAGCCTTCAAAGCAGCGTCATTTCCAGGCTCCTCCTGCCTCTGTCTCAAGGCAGACGGCCGCACAAAGCAGTCAGGGGTGAGTCCTGGTTCAGGATTCCACCTCCACAACAAGCCCAGGTTTAAAGCAGCCCGTATTTCCACGCAGGCCGAGACGGAGCGGATGAGGTGTTTGCACGCAGCCATCCCCTTGCCCTGCTTGAGGGCCTCGCCCTGGCTGGGGAGGCGTCCCATTTCCTTGCATAAGGCTGGCTGGGCTGGTGGACGAGTCTTTCCCGCACACCAGCTTTGGGGCAGCGTCTTCCGCTACACCAGCGGGAGCAGCCTCGACGCATCGGCCTCCTGAAGCCACGGCTTCACTCCGCCCAAGGGCAGGGCCGGCCTAACCTCCCTTCCCCCGGGAGCGGGAAGCTCTTGCTGGCTTTGGAAAACCGCCCGGATATGACCAGGGGCTCTCCAGCGGCCTCCTTCCAGGGCACTGCTTGCAGACGCTGCTTGACCTTTGCCCACTGACCCGTTCTCTTTTCCCTCCCGCCAGATTATCAGAGTGAATACTACGGCCCCGGAAGCAACTACGATTTCTTCCCGCAAGGACCTCCTTCCTCTCAAGCGCAAACGCCGGTCGACCTCCCATTCGTGCCCTCCTCGGGGCCGTCAGGAACACCTCTCGGGGGGATGGACCACCCTTTGCCCGGACACCACCCGTCGAGCGAAGCGCAGCGTTTTACAGATATCATGTCCCACCCGCCTGGAGACTCACCCAGCCCAGAACCCAACCTTCCCGGTTCCTTGCATTCCATGTCGGCAGAGGTTTTTGGCCCCAATCCTCCGTTTTCCTCGATATCCGTGAACGGCAGTGCAAATTACGGCAGCCACTTGTCACATCCACCCGAAATGAATGAGGCAACGGTATGGTAGCTTTAACTGCGGGGACTGGACGGAGACTTAAGCGCGGATCCACACCAGTCCGGCTTCTAGTGAGATGTACAGAATTGAGTTCAAACAACTAGAACATTTTTTCCTGCCCTAAGACAATATACATTATTCTGTTTTTTTGGGGGGGTGACGTTTTTTCTTCCCCTGCCTTTTTTTCTTTTCTTTTTTTCCCCGCCCATTTTTTTCGTTAACCTTGGGAATTAACTGATTCGTTTGTTTCAGATCAAAGCCCAGGGAAATTCTGCTATAGACTGGGGGACAATCTTCACACTATAGAATCAACTGCGAAAAAAGAAAAGAAAAAAAAAGTTTTGTACTGAGTGAAAAAGACACTGATGAAGTGGATGTGTTTCAATACTGCCATATATTATGGGATGGCATACACTGGGTACCTGTGTTGACTAGATGGTAATTCTAGGAATCAAGATAAACTTTTCTCAGATAGGAAAAGAACCTAATATTGAATTAAAAGGCAAGGTCAACAGCAACCAGGAAAAGCTGCAAGGAATTCTAGCAATTTAAACAAATTATGGTTTATTTATTTGTTAATTTTGCCTCCAAAATTGAACACAATCTACGATGACAGACTTTTTAAGCCTCAAAAATGTCAGAAGAGGCAAATAAAATGTGGTTTCTTCTGTTGTTATTTTTCTTTTTGGGAGGGTGTCGGTTTTCTTGTTTTTGGCCAAAATAGCAAATATTTAAATATAAGCCCTCCGCATCAACTCTTCTACCTTCTCCGAGCGACACACACCAATAATCCTCAAAACCCAGAGGTCTTTTGCTAGACTTCTAAGTAAAAAATGACTTGAAATGAACAGCAAAGTATTCTACCTTCACAAAAATAAAAGCTAAACATACAAAAATAAAAATAAAAAGACTATGGAACTAGAAAAAAACACAGTCAATTGTTTACGTCGAATGTTAAATTCAGGAGCGCAACGTTTTACTAAAAAATAAAAAATCCTGTTTTAGAACCTCTTGTTCAAAAGCAAAGTATTTTGAGCAATCAACCAAAATAGTTCACTTTTTCCTTTCCTTCTCTCTCTTTTTTTCTGTAGATGTTATGAGACATTACAGGGCTTGTGTTTCACTGTGCTAGTTTGTAAAGGTGGTGTTTACAGAAGGCAAAGAATAAAAACGTATAAAATCAGACAGTTGCCAAATAAAACAATTCTATAGCACAAAATACTCTTTGGGGTGTTGCATCCGCAGCCCAGGAAAAACATTTTAAACAAAGTGTTACAAGGTTAAGGGGGAAAAATAACATCTTTGTTAATGTTTAGTCCTGTTTATCATTACTGGAATTGTTAATATGACTTATATAGACCCACACAGGTTTTATTTTTGTGTCCTTAAAAGAAAAAAAAGTCCAAAATATTTAAATTTTATGGTCAAATATGCAGTCAGCAGCTGCTACTTTTTTTCTTTATATATTAAATTTCTCATATGTCTTTTATTGTTCAAAGAAACCTAAGCTTGTGCGACCTCCACTGCATATTAGACCATTCACTGTATGAAAGGGGGGAAAGTTGGATTAAAAATTTGTGAATTTTTAATAAAAATAGAAAATCTGATGTTTAGATAACCTGTGTTTCATTCAGTGTTTTAAATTGGTTTATGACATACTTTCTGGGGTAGCAATGGACCTTAATTAGAGTTGACATTTGAAATATTGCTGATTCTTACTCATGATCCGTCTTCAGATTTCTTTTCTTCAAATTCTGAGGAAAGATGAAAGAAGTTTGATAAGGCTTTTGAAATCAGAGGACTTTCTCGCAAAATTCAATTTGACATCAACATGAATGCGACATTTTGAACAAATTTTGAGGAATGTACTATGCAGTTCTGTAAGTCATAATGCCTTTTCTCCATTTTTCCCCAAAAATGTCACATCAGACTGGCAAAATTTCTCTGGGAATGTGCCTTTCTCTCTGGATTTCATATCAAATTAGATTTCAAGTATATTTGGAATTCTTCTCTTTGGGTATCTGAAGAAAAACCTGAGGGACATTTGGAGATGGCATAAGACATTTATTAAGTTTTGCTGGAATTCCACAACTGTTTTGCAAATGCCCGGTGAATATTTCCACATGTGGCTGGATTCCCCCTTGGGAGATGTTTCCAGGGGCCTCATTCCAGCGGTAAACAGGTAAACGGGTGATGCTAAATCCCAGACTGCTCTAGCTTCACGCGCTTACAGCCAGGAACAAAGCCTTGTTAGAAACGTAAGTGGGGGAAACCTGCACAAGCTGGAGAGTCAAACCATCGACATTTAGGGCAAGGGGGCTTGTCCATCTGCAGGCTTGAGCGCCCCCCCCCCAACCCTAGCCCCAAACCCATATGTGGTATGCCATATTCGTCCGTCACTGTGTTAAGGACTTCAAAGCTCCGTAATGGGACAGTCTATAAAAGCTTTAAATAATAAAGCAATCAAGAACAGTCCTCTTTCCATGCCTCAAAGTAGGGCATTTTCTGAATTGCGCTAAACAGTGATTGTAGTGCCCAGTGGATCCCAGTGCGGGGGAGTGTATCCACGCAGGGCCTCAGTCTGAACTTTAAAGGACTTGTCCATGGTTCTGAATCTATTTTGAGGCCAGGGTTCAATAGCACAGATAGCTCCTTCAAAGTTCAGGGTAAATCCCAGAGTGGAGACACTGCCCCACCGACACTGGCGCTCCCGGTTTGTACAGGCTGGCACAGGAATCCTGGAATATCATCCTACACCGCCTGGGTTTCCATGTCTGATCCGCTTGGGCTCTCATTTTCCTGACCCCAGCCTCTATTTACTTGGATTTCCTCTAGCTTTGGTGTCCCATTTCCCTCCCACTCTGAAAGGTTGAATTGCCTTTCCCAAGGATTAGGTCCTGGAAGTAGGAGCCTGAAGCTACAACACGTGGGTACTGTGTCTTCCCCTCTTCTGCCTTTGGCCTCCCCTCTTCTGCCTCCAATCCTGCTCACCACTAGGATGCAGCTCCTGAGAGCCTCTCCAAAACGGGGCCTTTTCAGGCTCAAGTGCAACACGCCTGCTTGCCTGCGTATTTTTGGCGCTGAAGATCGATCGGTGATACTTTGGACAGTGCCAGATGCCAGCTGAGCAGGCTATCTTGACAAGATCTGTCTTTCTGTACATGCTCATGGGCACAGAGAGCCAGGCTGCTTCTAAGCCCATCCTTCTAAGCACAACTGTTAGGAAGTAAGTCCACCTGAACCCACTGGGACTCGCTTCTGAGTAACTGTGCATAAGGAAAGGCATGTTTTCCTATACCCGGTGGCCTGATATTATGAAGCCTGCAAGCCTCCCAGTGATTTATTTATTTACTTATATTAGGATTTATATCCTGCCTTTTTCCTACAAAGGGCTCAAGGCAGCTTACATCATCTCTCCTCCTCCATCTTATCCCCACAACAACAACCCTGTGAGATAAGAAGGGCTGAGAGTCTGTGGCTGGCCCAGAGTCACCCAGTTGGCTCCATGGCCGAGCGGGGACTCGAACCCGGATCGCCTGAGTCCCAGTCCCATGCTCTTAACCACTGCACCACACTGGCTCTCTTATTACAGCATAATCCTATGTGTGCATGTACTCAGCAAGCCCCACAGCATTCAGTGGGGTTTACTCCCAGGTAAGTCGCTGTAGGGCTGAAGCCTGACTTGAAGGTGACATGAATTTCCTTGGTTTGGAGCTGGGGTGACTGCGCAAGCAGATGCAAAGACTCCTTTGAATTATGCCCACTGAAGCACGCTCTTCTGTAATATTTACTGCTTTCCTTTATGGGGGAGAAAACCATTAATCTTGTGCTTTAGGGGGTTAGAAATGCATTTTTTACATGGATCGATATATTGGCATTGTTTTCGTACAAGGCTGAATGCTTCTATAACTACCCATATCTGCTAGAGAATTCTCCTTGCATTCTGCATAGCTTTCTTTCTTGGGATGCCTGCAGCCCTAATGATGCTTCCTTGGAAGGAGGCCACCCAAAATCAATGGGACTCCTCTCCTGCATGAGCATGCACGGGAGGGGTTGTGCTGTTGAACATTTCTTCTCTTGCAAATGCATCCCATTGGAAACCTAAATCAAATCTACAAATGGGGAATCCCAAAACAGGAGATCAAAAAATGGACCTGGTGCAGTGCAGAGATAGATTTTATTGTTTTTAATCACAATTTCATGGCATGGTAACCTTACGCCATGGATTTTAAGATTTACATCGCCATTATGGTTATTCAACAGATTAATTTTGTGGCTATGCTGTTCCATAGCCAAAGGTCTGCAAGCCATTTATACTGGTTCATAACACTATGGCAATGCAATTTTAAAATCCCCAAAATACAGAATTTGGAAATAATTTGACTGTGAAGCAAGCGTATGATACAGAGTAGAATTGTTAAAACACCTGCCATGGGTACCCTCTTTGAGCCACTAAATATTCTTGGGTATCTTTACATGACTCGGCATACAGGATTGTCTTACCTGGCACTGAAAGGATGACCAGGTTAGTACCAAGTGGACTTAAATGGGAAGCCTGTTCTACAATCAAGGGGCTGCTACCGAGAAGCCCCTTCTCAGTGTCCAGGTGGACTGTGGCCGGCAGAGGCACTCCATCACATTTTGTGCTTGCAGGCCATTTAACCTTTACAGGTTAAAATCAGCTCCTTGCATTGGGTTAAGAAGTATTACCAGTAGTCAAGCTTGCTGGTCCCAGTTATGTTTGCATTTTATTACAGACTTTTAAATTAATTTATTCTGCCAGTCAGAGAGAGATGTAAATACTCTTTTGGCAGTGTAGGCCCAGCCCATTGGATAGCTTCCTTAGTGTCTGACTTTCTTACCAACTGTTGCCCTTATTTTCAAGCCTTATGGGCGAGAATCTTGGCTTCCTGGTATTGCTCTTTTAATAGGTAATGAATTTACATGGCCAATACTATTTTCTGAGCCTGCAAAAACATACAAATGATAAAATGTAATATTAAATAGTATACAAACTGAATAACACTATAGCAAAGAGGAAAAAATAGAAAGTAAAAGCATGCACAGGATTCAAAGCATGCATAAAGCAGTCCCTAGGTACATCTGCTCAGAGATAACTACACCCCTGCTTGGTATAAAATTTATGGCTCCCTGTGTTTGAGATCTTTGCAACCTTGCAGCTGCCTCAGCCCACAAAGCACCCCTCAAGTCGTGCAGAAATTCACAATTGTATGAATCTAACACTGGTGCAACAGAAATGGTTAAGCTGAAGCAGCATTCTCAGTTGCGATAACGCTCTGCTTGCATGAGGAAGTGGACAAGCACCAAGCCAATTGCACAAGCTAATTTTCCGCTCTACTGTGACTGCTGAGTGGGGAATGAGGCCTACTCTCTTTCACTAACCATGTGCGCAAGGCGGGATCCATAATAGCAGTAATTAATAGTATTATTGCTAATATCAATATATAGCCACACACAACGGATATTAATATCTATTAATCAATATCATTAATTTATTTTATATATAGATATAATCGCCCATGTAGCCTGAACTGTCTGATCCTGTCTAATCTTGGAGCGAAGCAGGATCCGAGTTGGCTGACTTAAAATGTGGTGAAATGCCCAGAGAGCTTAGGCTACAGGCGGTAAAGAAATGTAGTAGTAGTAGTAATAGAAATGTTTTAATAAATAAATAAATAATAAAAAATAATAATAATAATAGCAGCAGCAGCAGCCATGCAACAAATAAAGGTACGCAACCGTAATGTATAAAAATGGAACGGATGCAGCACCACATACACAAATATTAAAAAAATCAGCCAGCGAGCCCGGCGCCAAAGCCCCGCCCTCCCAACGGACGTTCTCCAACCGCCACTTAGCTCCGCCCAGCGTTCTATCCCCGCCCAGGCTGTCAATCATCCCCCCCCGCCTCCCTCGATCCCTGTTTCTCTTTCGCCCGGCCCCGCCCCGCCCCTACGCACGCCCGGGCCCGCCCCTTCGGCCAAGCCCCGCCTCCTTCGGGGCGGTGCTTCCCCCTCTCATCCGGGCGGGCGGAGAGAGTCACAAAATGGCGGCGCCCATCGCTGAGGAGCTGGAGCGCCTTCTCAACCCGCTGCCGAGCGTCCCCCACGACCCGGAGGACGACGCCGAGGATGGTGAGGCACAAGCGGGCGGGGGCCGCTTCTCTGGCGGGCTCTCTTTCGCTCCTGTATTCGCTAAGGTAGACGCTGAGGCGAGGCGGGCGTTTCGCCACGTGAGGTTGCAGCCGACACGTGTATGAATGAGAGAGAGGGTGAGAAAGAAACGCGCGGGGGGCGGAGGGTGGCTTTCTCCTCTCGTTACCAAGGCGGCAGCTGAGATACGGCGGGTGGCTTTTCATAATTCGGGCAAGCGGGCCTGAACACGTGTAAGTGTGTGAATACGAGGAAGAGTGAGGAAGAGACTGGGAGGGAGCTGTTTTCGGCTCCCCTTTGCACCCACGTGTGAACAGCCGAGCCGCTGATCAAGGCGCGCGTGCGCGGACACTGGTCACGTGCGTTCCAGCCATTGTGGGGAAGGAACCCTTGACACGTGTGTGTATGAATGAGAGAAGTAATGAGGAAGAAGCGGCGGGGGTGGGTGTTTTGAGCTCTAGCTGGGTCTTCTAGCTGCCAAGGGGGTCAACTGAGGGGTGCGTGTGCGTTTAATAGTTTTATATCTCGTTTTTTTTCCTTAGAAAATTCAAGCTAAAATGTGTTTGTTTTATCACGTGGATTATGAGGTTTATGGGAAGGTCTGGACTCTCGTGAGTGAGTGAGAATGAGATTGATGGTGAAGAAATTGGGGCAGGGAGTATTTTGATCTCTCTTGCTTTAAGGTCAGGCTCCTGAGGGTGTACCTGCCCTACCATGTGGGTTTTAGCAGCTGTAGAAAAGGCCCTAATCATGTGTGGCTGCCTATAAAAGAAACAGGTGCTGGATGTTGAGGAAGACATTATTATTATTATTATTTATTATTATAACATTTCTATGCCGCCCCTTGCCGAAACCTCGGGGCGGCTTACAACACGATAAAATACAATGAAATACAATAGCACATAATAAATTACCATTAATTACAAAATACAAAAAATACATTGATTTACAAATATAAGATTAAAATTATCAGTATAAATTAAGTAAATAAAAATATAGGAGGAGAAAGAGAAGGAAGAAGTTGCCCTGGCCAGATCATATGTTTTAACAATTAAAATGATGTTTAAATAAAAAGACATGTTACTATCTGACATGCAACTGGGATGCTGCGGAGGAAATGAGTAGGTTTTAGGGTGGATAAAAATTCATCATTAAAAATAAAAAATGGATGTTTAAAAATTTAAATCAGATTTTTAAAATAAAATGCTTTTTGAGGAAAGACCTATCTAAAGATAGATTTCTATTTAAGATACACTATAGTCCAAGTTATTCGTCATAAAATAAGGATTAGTTTTATATAGCATGAGATTGTATATTAATGCAATGTTTAAACTTTTTAGAAACTGAATTAATTTAATCCCTTCACAATGTCATGCTCTCCCAGAGGTTCCTATAGGATTATTGGGCAGTTTTTCTATGTAGAAGATACTATCGCAGATGCTCAGTTTTACAGTTCTCAAAACTGTGTCTGCATAGATCACATGCCTCTTCACAAGGAAAATGTTATAAAATCAACATACAGAATTGCGAAAAAGACCGTAATCACATTGTTCCTTTGCAAATCTCTGTACACAGAATCAACCCCTTATCTCTTAAGCACTAAGTTTCCAAAATTGCAATGAATAGAAGCAGATTGTTGGGAGTGGAATAGATCTGCACAAGAAGCTTAAGTGCGAGGAGGGGGGGTAAGTGGTAGAAATGAAAGTGAAACCTTTTGAGCAGAATACTCCTCAAGTCTTTCAATCTTTTTGTATATAACCTGAGGTTTATCATACTCTTTCCCTGGAGAAGAAAACCTATAATGGCAGCAGGCCATAAAAGAGAATGAAGTTCCTCTACCTACGGGTAAGGCAGGCATATGTGCGAATTATGTAGAAAACCATGATTTAAATCTGGTCTTACTAGTGATTTAAATCGATTTGATTTAATCCATCCTATGCAGCCCTCTGTATCTCTGACGGTAGAAATGCTGGACGTTGTAGGACATTTTCTGTCTAAACATGCGTAGGATCATTTCCTCATTTATCCAGGAAAATTGAACCTCACACAAAGTAAACATGGGTTTTTGAAACTATTAGAAGGGTTAAATCAAGCAAGCAACTCGTGATTTGCTGAAGGATGAGCTGATTGGCATCTGCTGCAGATGTTGACATCTCTCCCTGTCAGAATATACACTTTCTCTAGAAATTCCAAATCAGCGAATAATCTCAGAGAAACCCTTGTTTGGGGTAGAGAGATCTTCTCTGTCTTTCCAGTTGCCCCTTAAGCATTTAAGAGCCCTTTCATCTTGCGTTTTCTTTTCATTCATCTCCATAAATGGAGCATTAGCACAGAGACACATTAGCAGAAGCACTCGGTGATGTTGAGCCAATTGGATCACTCAATTGAGTGAGCAGTCCCAGCCCTATAATTTTATGTATGGGGTGTGAAACCAAGAACAGAATTTAATCAGGATTCCAGTTTGTTGTAGCACTATATTTCTTGGGTCTTTACCAGAGGAGGCAGAGATCTAAGAGACTTAAGATCTGTAATTGCTATAAAATTGCCCCAAATGCTCTCATTTTGGAAAATCTAGCTGTTCCACAGCCCTGTAGGAAGAAGGTGGTGTCCACCTGCCTCTGAAATAGAACCTTCTGGTGTCCATCTTGTGTGTTGCATTGTTCAAATTGAAAAGTCTGCAGCTGGAAAATATGTGCTGTAGCAACATTCTTGGGACAATATAGACAATTTAGTATTGGTTGTGATAGGTGAATTAAACCTCATAGGCCTGCTGTGGTGGTGGGCAAGAAAGTTCTGCATACGGTTTTTGGTAGCCTTGGTTCAGATCCTTCCTCAGTAATATGGCAGAATTAGATCAGATTCGAAAGCTTTTGATTGGTTCATAGGTTGATTAGGAGCAGGTTTACAGATATACAAACTTAGAAGAAGCGCGCACTTGCTCTCTTAAATCTGCTGTTTTTGCTGGGCCTGGCCAGCATCGGCCTGGCCATTCTCATCAGTAAAATAGAAATATTGGTATTTATGGAAGTAAAGAACAAAAGGACTGTCAAGAAGTTTGTATGCTATAAATGTGTCACTCTGTGAGTGAGAGAGAGAGAGAGAGCGCGATCTCACGTTTTTTTCCAACAGCATATTTGGGTGGTGAATGCTGGCAGGACTGAAGCCAAAATGGGCAATAGGAAATAGCAGAGGAATGGGCGTACCCAGGGGAACCCCGTGATTTGTAATGTGTAGACTGGAATGGGGGGAAAAGGCTATTATAATTGAAAGCTAAATGTTGGAGGCTAAAACAGAGGGGCATTGCACAATACATGTAACTGGAGGATGCACATGGAGTGTAAGGGGCAGAGAAGCATGGCATGGACAGTGAATAATAGGGGAGGTCAAGGCGCAGTGGAAAGACACAAGGTGCTTTAGGAACCCTTTTCGCAAAGGTGGTATAAGGTCCAGAGTGTGAGTGACGAGCAACTACGGTTGGAATGCAGGGACCAGGGTGCAGGTGCGGTGTGAAGGCCTGCAGCAGGTTGCAAGGGCCAGAAGCAAGAGGTGTGTTTGTTTGCCAGTCCAGAGTCAAAGCCAGGGAGATAATAAAGCCCAGCAAGCACAGTCCAAGACGGCACAGTCCAAGAGCACAGCCCAAAGGTTAAGTTCCAGAAAGACGGTTGCATGTGAGGGCAAGGTGAGGTCAGGGAGGATGGGTGCGGGCCCCTGGGAGCCAGGGTCAGGCCAGGATGGGAGCAGGGAGGGGCAGCAACAGGCTTGAGCCAGGCGGGCAGGCACCAGGATCCAGGTGAGGCGATGCAGGGAGCCAGGGCACAAGGCGGTCACAGGGCGGCTCGGGGTGCTGTGGGCGCAAGCAGCAGTGCAGGGCGGCCTTTGAGGCCGGGGGGGTGGGGGCGTCTCCAGGCCTGCAGGATTCCTCCACAGCTGCTTCCTGCAAGGGCCTTGAACGGTGCTCCTGGTTCTTCCTGCACTTGCAGGGTGACTCAGGCTCTGATCTTGAGAGGTGGGTATTAAAGGCTTTCAAAGGGTGATGCTGTTGAAGGAACAGGGAGCGGTCTAGGCCAGTGGTGGCGAGCCTGTGGCACGCATGCCGCAGCGGGCACCCAGAGCCCTCTCTGTCGACACGTGAGCCAAGTCGCCCCAGCAGCCGAGCATCAAATAACAGCACGCACAGGGGCCATGCGCATGCTCGGAAAGGAGGAGCGGCGCCAGGTGATGACATCACAGGCCATGACTCATTAGCTGCGACTCGTCCAAGATTTCGCATGGCCGGTCAGTGCGCTGCCAAGGATATATATTTGCTTGGATTGGCTGTGAGTTTTAATACATTCGTTTTTACTAACACAAGATTTTAGCTTCGAGTTTCCTTATGAAAAGTTAATATCTAAGATTTAGCAAAGAGATGTTCTAATTAGGAGACTGAGATTCTTTTAATGTTGTGCTGTTCCCCTGGCATATTTGCATCTGTAGCATCATGTTTAGTTGTTTGTGAAGACTTTGTGACAACAAGAGCAAGGATATATATATATTTGCTTGCCTTGGCTGTGATTTTAGCAGAAGCTCCCACAAATTAGGAAATGCACTCAGATGCCTTTTTCAGAGCGGGCCAAAAGCTGGTGGTCACTGGAACATCAATAAAAAGCTGTTTGTATCATTGAAAGTTCTGTTATCGTGTTTTTCTTTTAGGACAAAAGATGTTAATGCATGAGGGTTTTTTCTAAACTAAAACCTCAGTATTCAGGTTTTATTGCAGTGTTGGCACTTTGCGATAAATAAGTGGGTTTTGGGCTGCAGTTTGGGCACTCATCTCTCAAACGTTCGCCATCACTGGTCTAAGACGATATACGGTGAAAAGACTGGGTAAAGGGGGAACGCTGTTGGAGAGGAGAGGTTGAATTTCCCCCCAAACTAATCTTTCCTTCCCCTTTTTTCTTCTATCCAGCCACCCTAGCCAAAGTTGTTGACAAGTTTGATGAAGGAGCGCTCGAGGATGACACTGTTTCTGTTGGACACATCCGGAAAGCTGTCTCTGTCAGCCTCTTGGATGCTGATGAGCGGTACCACGGCAAGGCCACGTCTCGCAGAGCCTTGGAGGAAGAGCTCTGGGGTGAGGCCCAGCCGCTAGGTGAGAACCCTCCAGCCCTGCTGTGGGATTTGCTTCTCTCTTTCCAAGCAGCCTTGTTCTGGGGGGTTGAGGTCTGAAGTTGCGGGATGCTTAGGCATGTCTGAAATTTATACTGCAAGAGGTGTGCCTGCTTTTGAACTGACATGGCTTGCAACTTAAGGGACTTTCACAACTGGAGTTCTTGGAAGGCCTGTAGACCTCTCAAAGAAATCCACACATTCTTGCAAAACTATCATTTCCAGGAATATTTAGGGCAGGCATGGGCAACTTGTGGCTCTTTAGCAGGTTTAGCCTACAGTTCCTATCATCTCCTAACACGGGCTATGCTAGCTAGGTTGATGGGAGTTGGAGGTCTCCAGAAGTTTTGGGTAACAGTAGGGAAAGTTGTGCTACTTAAAAGAACCCTGGAAACCAGTATATTTCCATAGCATAGATGATTCCTTTGTGGTTATGTTAACAGTTCAGTTTGCTTGAGTAATAAGCTGGCATTGGGAAGGGAGTTTGGGGGCAAATGTTGCCCTTCTTCAGCTCATGCATATTTATTAATATGATTGGGATTCTTAAGGATTTTATTGATTCAGTATGTGTCTGTTTTCTGTCCCAAACTTTCAGTGTAAGATGATACATAGGGTGAGACAGAAATCTAAACCCAGCAGCAGAGATGAAACTTTTCCTTGATGGCATTGACTTTTAACATATTTTAAGAGCTGCGGCTATGTAGTCCCCCCCCCCCAATCTTTCCTTTTACTTGCTGATGGCCAGTTGCATGCACTGTGTAAATATAAGTTGCAAAATTCATTATTCTATTCCACAGCCCAAAGTGCAGAACCTCGTGCCTGCCGTCTCGGTCCACCCCCCTGGGGTTTTCGGCCTCTTCCCCTCCCTGACCTCAGCTCCTTGCTCCCAACCACTAATTGCTGGTGTGATCCTGGATTTTTGACTGCTGTTTTTAGTTGGAAAGCTGGAAAGTCTGCATAGACTTATTTGCTGCCTGCTTTTTTTAAAATTTCTGAGCAGGTCCTTCCTTTTAGCAGAGCCCATGTGAATTTGATATTTTTATGCAATGTCTTTGACAAAGTTCTCCATGTTTTGAAATTTCAGTGCAACATGTTCCTACTGCAAGGGGTTCGTACCGGGGCCATGCGAGCTGGTGGGAGGAGGGGAAATTGACTGGTTGGTTCAGTCATTTGTTCATTTCTGTATTTGTTTGTTTGTTTATTTGTCCATCCTTTCTTTCTTCGCACTGGTGGATCTCTCAGGACCTGTATCCTGGTGGTGTGCAATGCCCTCCTTCCCCTTTTATAAAGATGTTAGCAAGAGAGCTTGATCACCTTGTAATGCTCACCGGTTATCTCATTATTTAATGGGAAACACTGTCAGTTAATCAATGGGTCTGATAATCAGTTCAGCCACTGCTGCTGAACGGAAGGGTGAATTTGAGGTTTCAATTTGCCAGGGACTTGCCAATTGTCTCTAATCTCTGAGCCAAAAATTGTAGGTTGGTACTAAAGAAGATATTATAAGAGGTAGCCTTTTTTAGGGAAATGGAATCCAAATTGTTCGGATTATTTGAACATTAGCTCCTATAGCCAAGAAGTGCCAGATGGTATCAACTTGGGTGACTAATTAGGTTTATTGAAATTTGCATGCCTTCGTGACATTGCGGGGCAAGGAAGTTCCACAGTTCCTGGTGGAAGACCGATCCGGTGCTGCAGCAGGAGGCAGAAGGTTGATTGGGACCTGCTGATAGATCTTGGGTGAAGGATTTTAGCTCTCAGTTTGCAAAACAGTGGCAGCCGCCCAAATTCCTCCCCCCCCAGTTTCCACTGTGAGAACCGCTGCATGGTCATGGAGTGGTTCTATTCGCTGTGCCCGCCATCCAGCCATCCCTTTATCTAAGATACTCTTTCCATCTCCCCTCTCCACCTTTCCATGTTCCCCCCCATCTGACAGACAGCATTCTAGGCCCACCGAGTCTGCCCAGCCTTTGTTAGGTTGTTTGGGGAGGGCTTGCTGCACCCCCTCAAGAAGCTGCAGCCTTCCGTCCCACAAGCTTCCTGATAGCCCAACAGGTGGACACGATGCTGTTTGGCCACGTAAGTCGCAGCACTTGAGCACATGATGCGCATGCCGCCCCTTTGTGTGGCTCATTTAATTGCGCATGTTAACATTTTTATGACTCCCAACAGCCAGTGCTCTCTGGGCAGTTTACAAAGATCGAAACATTCAAAGTACAGTATGCTAACATAGCAATCTTAAGAGATACAAAATATGTAATCAGTTTCACTATTAGTGATTTTTAAATGCCATCAAGTGCCTGGGGACAGAGGAAAGCCTTGTGTGAGCTTCAAGGAAAAGTTGGTGACAGATGGGTCTCCCCGGGAGGAGAGGAATTCAGTTTGGGATCAGCTCAGTCTCATTGCGCTGCATTTCTCTAATGACCAGTATTCTAACTTTAGTTGTGTATTTTGATGCCTGCAACGCTCTTCTTTTGCATCACAATGCCAGCCCAGCTGGTCAGTTTTAACACAACAAAGTCTTTTAATTAAAGTCTGTGTCCTGATTTCCTTGGAAGGAGAAGGAGACCACCATCTCTTCTACCCCAGTTGTCTCGCCTTCTCTCTCATTGTGTCTTAGCTAAAACAATCAAATGTGAGCCACCCAAAAAATGAATCCAAACTCATTCCGATGAATAGCCAACATATAGCAGGAAGGAGAGATCCAGTCTTGTCTGTTGTCGTCCTTGCTTTCCTCTCTTTCACTGTGTACTCATCTAAGAGCCACCCTGGAAGGTCTGAACGGTTGCAGTTCATACTGGACCAGTATCAACTGTCACGTTTTATAATCAATAGATGAACAAACCTCAAGTGAGGAGGAGACCAGTGAAGGTGATACCGACAGCGAACCTCCAGAGGAAGACTTGGCTGATGAGTCTCCCGAAATGGAAGAAGAAGAGGAAGCTGCTGACCTTGAGAGTGGCCAGGAGGAGGAAGAGGAGGAAGGAGAGGCATTGGAGAACTTGAAGAAACCAACCTTCACTTTCCAGGCCATCAAAGATTTTGAGAAATTTGCAGAAGAAATGGACGAAATAGAAAGTGGGGATGAAGATGAGAATTTGAGCATGGAAGAAGGCAGTGAAGCTGATGTGGACTCAGAGGACGATGCTGAGGACAGTGATGAGGAGACACCTGATCAAGATGAGGGTCGAGATGACGGGGAGTTGTTGATGTTCTCGGAGGACAAAGAGGCTGAGGAAGTAGCGAAAGGGAGAGCTGTAAAGAATCAAATAGGTAAGTAAATAATATCCTTTCTCTTATGGCTCTGATGAGAGTTTTACATCTTTCTTCTTAGAGCCGCTTGCACCTTTAAGACCGAAGCAGACGCTGTCTTTGAAGCAGTGATGAGAGCCCTTCCGCACATGCCTGACAAGCAGGCCTCTGTGAGTAACAGGGTCCTCAGAAGGGCCTCTTCCCCAGACCTTAAAACCTCGGCAGGTTCTTTATGTGTTAAAATGGTGAAATAGCCAAGATTGCCTTAGTGGCTTGTGGCCTGGTTACTTTGAAGAATTGCCCACACCCTGAAGAGCCTCGCTGGGCTTTAGGATCAGCCTCAGAGGTGGCTGCTTTCTGCCCTACCCGGATGGCTGGCTGCCAGGGACATTGCCTTCTCCGTGCTAACCCTGTGTCTTTGGGACTCTCCCCAAGATGAAAAATTGATCTTCTGAGTTTTAGATGGGCCATAAAGACTCTTCTGTTTGTTGGTTTGTTTTTTTGTAGCTGGCTTTTGTTTGATTTATCAGACTACTGTCTTCATTCTTGCTTGTAATTATGATGTGGTTTTTATTTTGTAATATTTTAACTGAACGCTCCTTGGGGCAGACTTGACCTTGGAGGCAACTTATAAATAAAAATGTCTGAGCATTTGTGTTTTACCCAAGTTGAGCATATTGCTTGCAATATTGAGGAAGATATATAAGCTCATTTCTGTCATCCCTCCAGGGAAGAAAGAGAAGGTAGGAAATAGTGGATGTCTTTTCTCTGATACATTTTTTTCCTGGCATGGCTGCAGAAAATAGGAAGTGCTAAGGCTATGTTTTGTTTTCCCTCTCTGTTTCCTAAAGCCCTGTGGGACCAGCTCTTGGAAGGGCGAATTAAGCTGCAGAAGGTCCTCTTGACAGCCAACCAGCTGCCACAGCCAGATACTTTCCCTGAGTTTCAGGAAAGAGGAGGACAGGTGTTCGCTGATGTGCTCAAAAACAGTAAGAATTTATGTTTTCCTTCCAAATAAAGCAGGGTACGTGGATGTGTATTCTGAGAAGAAAACAATCAAGCTTCAGACTCAAAGCATTTCCACTTTTTGTAGCAGTATTAACTACTCAGATTAAGCACACTTTCTTCTGTTGTGCTTCCCTTGCAAAAGGCATTCAGAAGGAGGGATTGGGATACAATTGGGGTTTTAGCACCGTGCTCCTGGAAAACCTGCTGCGTTACCTCTCTGGGGTATTTTTCTCGCATCTTTCTAAGTCTTACTTGCGTGCATTCAAATATACCTTACAAGAGAAGTGTAGACCCTTTAGCCTCATTTAGTCTGTGAAAGTTTTGCACCCAGCTCTCTGCCCTTGAAGAATCCTGCCAGACTCCACCCTGCTTTCCCTAATTATGTTAAACTTTTTATTTATTTTTATATTATATTTATATATATATATATATATATATA